ACCATATAAACAATTAAAATAATTTAAAAAAACGTATACCATAAAAATGAAGATACGAATTATTTACACTCCTAAACCAACCTTTGAACTTTACCGACAGCCAATCCAGGAAGGGAGTAGGATGTCATCCCCACGACCAAGACAAAACGATTAGCGAGTCAACGTGGGGCCCGGAAAGCACGCGCGCGTGCCAGCCGACAACTACTGAGTATGGCCAGTGGCCTGTCCGGCGCCGCAAGGGTCAAAGTTTGGATGGTGACAGGTTCTTCCTGCAAAGCATTTTTGCGTGATATTCAATACAAGCAGCACGTAACATCCGTTAGACCGTTACCGTTAACATTCCCTCCAAATCATAACCGTCGAATTTTTTTGTCCTAACCGCATCATTTACTGCACAGGCTTACCTCGCTTCAGTGCCCCTTCTGTTGTTTTTTTTTTTATGGGTGCCCTTCTCTTTTTAATAGGTATTTGATATAATGATTTGAAATAATCATTAGTAATTTCATGTGATTAAATGATTGATAATTTTTTATTATTTAATAATTAAATATTTTTATTTATTAAATTAAACAAAATTAATATCTTAATTTTAAATCACTATTTCAAACACTTTACAGAAGTTAGCCAATAAGTTTGGTGCTGGTCTTTAGCCAAATTAAGCCAATGTGGTCTCAATATGAACAGTTCTAATTAATGTCAACTCTTGTAAGATGTAACTTGAGCTTAAATTTTTTTTTTTCTCTTGCTTTTTTCTAAAAGAATCATTTTTAGCTTAATTTGGAACGTATTTTTATAAAGTGATGTTAGAAATTTCTCTTAATTAAAGATAATTGTGGTTTATAAAAGTCTTAATTACAAGCACTGGGAGAGTTTTTTTTTCTATAAGATTCGATGTAATTTGATTTGAAATTAATTAAAATTTAAATTAATTAGAATTTAATGTGATTTTGGAATATTGTGAGGTTTAATTAAAAAAATAAAATAAAAGCCTTCACCTCTTCCAAGAGTCAAAGGTAGTGGACATTATATATTTTTAATTACTCACACTCTCTAAAATAACTGTTATTTTTTTACCTTTTTTTTTCAAATTAAAGATTTAGGGATAATGTTTGTATTTATCTATAATACTCTTAAAAAGAAATAAATGATAAAAAGAGACTTTTTATAATTAAGAATTTAATTAAAGTAAATGGATAGTAATAAAGTTGAGAAAAAAAATATCTACTTTGAAAAATGAAAAAAAATAACAATTAATTTAAAATAAGGGATTTTTTATCTTGTGCCATGAAGGCACATGTTAAATTTCATTAAATATAATATTTATAATTAATTTTGTATAAATGTTCATGTTGATTCAATTAAAATAAAATATAAAATGTAAAATTAAAATAAAATAAAATATTTGAATTCAAAATTTGTAAAAAGGTATAAATTTGGTATGAAAATTTATGAAAATTAATTACAAATACCATAATTAATGAGACTTAACATGTGCCTTTAAGGCATTGGTTAGATAAACCCTTGAAACAAATTCAAAATAAAAAGACTATAGTTATTTGGGACAAAGGGAGTAAAACAAGAGGTCATTCACCACAATTCACCTAAAAGTCAAATCCAAATCCTCAAATCCTTTATCAACTATTCTTGAAAATTATTTTACATGACTCTAGATTTTAAGAAATGATTTAGGCACAACCTTTTTTCACAATCAAATCTCACATACAACCACTATATTATATGTTAAATTTATAAATTAATATGCATTTACTATTTAATAACATGTAATAGTTGTAAGTTTTGATTGTAAATTTGCATCTCATTATCATTAGATTTTTCACTGCATGACTTTATTGAAGTCACATTAGAGTACCCATAATAGTGCGTAATCCTACCGTGAGAGCTATGGATTCACCTTTTGTATATAGAATGGAATGGCCAGGGCAGAGGACAAAAGAAGCATCGTCCTTGTTGTTTTCTCTTGATATATACACATGTAATTAATGTAAAAACAAAACGTGTGGAGGGTATACGTTAAAGAAAAATTGGTTCATTTGGGAAGAAGATGGATGCAGTCTTCACATATCTGAGGTTAGGACAGCATATATAGTCACTTTCAATTGCTGCAAAATGCCATTGGGTTATGCTCATCAACCCTTGGATTTTCTCATTGGTTCTCTTCTCATTGTGGAATGTTCCCTTTTAATTATATTCAGCTCATGTCATGCTCCATGACCTTACCATACCCACAAGTTCTTCAACCTTCTCATTATAATTAATTAACCCATTAAGCTCAATACACTATTACATGTTATATGTCATTGAATTTTTTACTTTGATTCTTCTAATTAGATGTTAATTTCGAATGTAATATATGATGGTTTAATAGATTCATAAATTTAGTTAATGAAGAAGGGCATAATTATATGGTACATGTATTTTCTAGGTGGAAAAATTAATACTGAGTGATGTAATGGTGAGACAAGCATGACCGCATGAGGTGTGAAAGGAGAAGACATGGTTGGGCTGAGAGTACACACGTGGCTAGTGCGAATGAAACAAAACACATGCCAGAGAGCCCACAGATGAGAAAAGTTAAGAAAATCATCACAAAACAACAAGATTTTGAAAAATAATAACAATAAAATAAAATAAAATAAAATAACCTTTTTTTTTTTTGTGTGAAAAAAAAAAAAAAAAAACTTAACAAAGAAAAACAGAGGGCGCAGTAGGGTCTGAGTTGTGTGGCAATGGGTTGACCAAGTCGGTTCAGAGTTGATCAACTCAAATTGTGGTCCATACATTTTCTGAATCCAGAGCGCATAGGTTTTATTTCTAGTCAACCCCAACTCAGTTACACAACCTACCCGGGAGCGGCACACGCCATTTCATTGACATCACATAAGTTAATTTAATTTAATTGTTAAAAATAATTAATAATTAAAAATAATTAATATTTATTATTTAATAAATTAAAATTAATTTATAAATTAATATTTTTAAATATTATAATTAATTATTTAAAAAAATTATAAATTGATATAATATCAATTAAATTAAATAATTTTTATGCAATTTTACCAAAAATGTGGACACTTTAACCACACCACACCCACGCACCTTGTAATGACACGTATAAGCCGATCCTCAAATTAGGTGCATGTTTCCTTCCATGGCCATCCCTATCTAGATTGACTTCATTGGGTTTGATCTTCTTTCTTTCTTTCTTTTACCCCCCCCCCCCCACTTTTTTTAAAAGAAGAAAGTTTGTGTTTAAAATTCCAAAGAAGGACATCTCATTACTCATTACATTTGTGGATTTTATGAAATGTGACCAAATTATGTGAGTCTCTAGTCTTCCCTAGGCCGGTGGGATTGTCAAGGATTATTTGACTCATCTTCAAAGTTCAAACATTCTTTCATTCACCCTTGTGTTTTTTTAATTTGAAAGACGGATAATTTATTCACCATTGGCTTGGGGCCCAAGTCCATATATATACAACCAACCCATTTAATATTCCCTCGTAAGATGAACTAGGGGATCACATTCATTGAAATATAGGTCATTCTTGTCAGCTTACATTCTTTTCACGTGATAAACTAAGGGATGAATTTTCAGACGTACAGATTTATAGTCGCTTGTGAATAGACAGGCAAATTTATAGATAGATGGATGAGTTTGCCTTAAGACAATTGAAAGAGTTTGTGGATGAACAGATAGAAATTTTGTGGACAAATTTATAGATGGACAAAATTGTAAATAAAATTTTAAGTGTATATATTTATGAATAGTTATGGATAGATTGATTAATTTTAGACAAGCAAACAGATTTGGGTGGATGGTTAGATGGATGAACTTATGGACGAATTTTTAGATGGATAAATTTTTAGATGTACGAAATTATGGACAATTGTTAATTGACAGGTGTACGAGTTATAAATAGATAGATATATAGATAAATTTGTATATATGAATTGATAACAGATAACGAACGGATGAACGAACCTACCAAAAAAATAAACGAATTTGTGGGTGCACAAATTTACTAGCAGATTCATCGCCGAACGAATTTTGTGTGTGGAGATGCTGATGCAGATACAGTGAAACTACATATGTCTAACAGCTAATATAATTATTTGTGTAATTAATTGCTTCTCTTATATGAAGACAAATGGCTTTTAGTTATGATTGTGAAAATTATTAGATTGTTTAAGTATGTGTAAAATTAAAAAGGAGGATAACTAAAATAAAATGATAAGAGAATAAAAAACTATAATAATTAGATAATAAATATTCAACTTATATATATATATAAATCGATTAAGGATTATTCTTTTTCTATTTTCTTGAACAGTTTTTCTAGTATAAAATTTAAACTTAAGTGACATACAATTTGAAATTATTAAAACATTGAATGAAACTTATTTAAAAATTAAAAAATTAAAAATTTAAGTTAATTGGCTCATGATCATCTTATGTTTGTATTAATATTTATTGGTTTTCATGGCTCAATCAAACAAAGATCATAAAAGAATGTACTCCATCTATACTCTCTTAGTATATGAATTCAAAATAAATACTCCATCTATGAGTAGCAGGCGCCCCACTTACTCTTGAATCATTATTGCATAGAAAGAAACATTTGCCAAAGGGTCTCCTTTTGATTCTAGTTGATCAAAGAACATGGACATGGGGGAATTGTACAAAGCATTCCCTTCTCCCTCTGTGTTGTCATAATTGCAAAACATAAAGAATAGATCCCCGGCTTGCTAGCTCATTTCTTTTCCCACACAAAACTATTTCCCCTTAATTTCCCCCTCTCCTTTTGTCTCATCTCAATTGGCCTAGATCTCCTTATATTCTTACCTTATAAAGTTGGAACACTAGTGGAGATTACAAAGTCAGATATGATATAAAGGTATATGTGTTAATGGGGGTTTCATTAAATTAATCAAAACCCTCATTATGTTCCAGCACGTGTGTTCTTTTTGTGCAAAACCTGATTTGTCCACAAGAATGTGTCTGGAAATGAAGTGGGAATGGGCAAGTAACTTGCCCAAAAAATGATAGGACAAAGATTAAGATAAAGTGGTGTTGATTTAAGGGACAATTAAGCATGGGAAACAAGATTAGATGATGTTGGTACATTTGCATTTACCAACTTAAGTCAAAGAATACCTGCCACAACCTATTATCCTCCGAGGGTCAATTAATATAGCTTGCCTCCAAGAAACTACCTTCCGAATGAGCCACAAAGGAAGGTTAAACGGCTCCCAAATTCGGTGCACAAACTCAATTTGATATGTAATCCCCGTACCGTATCATATACAGAGAATTATATACATATATATAAGATTGGTGAATTCATTAATGCAACCAAAAAAGCATGCATAATGAAATAGAATTGCAAGTACAAAAGTCAAGTTTAGTTATAATTAACGACTCATGATACAATCCCAAAGCAAAATATTGTAGAATATTGATCGGTTTAATCTGTCTAAACCACCCAAAAAAGCCGTGAGCTGCCCTACTTAATCTTTTTAACATTTGTGATTTCTTAATTTTGTTTACATGGATATTCCTTCCGTTTCATAACGAGAAGTGATATAGAAGACAAAAATTTTAAATTAATAATATAATATAAATTATATTATTAAATAGATTAATGCATACAATATTATAGGATTTAATAAAATAAAAAAAACTAATTATTAAATAATATAATTAAAATTCATCTTTTAATTTTTTAAATGATATGACTTATGCTTTATTGTTATTTAGTCCTAAATTTTAATCTCATAAAATTCGTCTATGCTATCATTATTCTTCCAAAATAATAGAGAGGGTTAAATTTTTTATTTAATTTTTAAATTAAGGATTTAGAGACTATTTCTTTTTATTATATCAATTATATTCTTAAAAAATAAAATTAAAAAGACTTTTTTATGATAGAATGAATAATTAAAATTAAAAATTAAGCGATAATGATAAGTTTAAAATAGAAAAAATATATTTTTCATCCTTAAAATATGAAAAAACAACAATTATTTTAAAATATATATGTAGTATTCCTTCTATTCTTTTTTAGTAAATCTAGTTTGATTTTTTACTTTTAAAACATAAATTTTAGATGAAAATTTAACTATATATGAGAATAATAATTGGAGTTTTTTTATTCCTATATATAATTATTGGTAAGTATTTTTATTTGATAAAAAAATTTAATTGTTATTTATATAAATTGTTAAATTTTTATTTAAAACACTACTAAAATGGTTAGCTTCAGCAACATGGAAACATGTTGCTGAAAGTGGTTCCCATGTTGCTGAAAGCCCTTCAGCAACATGGATTTGCTTGCTAAAAGCCTTGTTGGAGAAGGCTTGGTGGGTAATACATTACCAACCAAACTCTTGTTGCTGATACATCAGCAACATGATCTATGTTGCTGAAAATATAGTATCAGCAACCTAGCTCATGTTGCTGAAAGAGGTGGCCAGAATCCGGTGGAAGTTGGGGGTGAATTGGCTCCCCCCCTTCAGCAACATAGGCCACGTTGCTGAAGATAGAGTTTCAGCAACGTGGCTCATGTTGGTAAAAATTTCAAAAAAATCCATCCATTTTCCGGTGCCGGATTCTGTGACATTTTCAGCAACAAAAGCCACGTTGCTAAAACCCTATCTTCAGCAACATGGCTTATGTTGGTAAAAATCACAAAAAATCAATTCATGCCCGGTACCGAAATTTTGAAGACATTTTCAGCAACAAACGCCACGTTGCTAAAACCCTATTTTCAGCAACGTGGCTTATGTTGGTAAAAGTGGAGGGGATAGTGAAAAAAAAGGGTGGTTT